TCACTATCAAACCCAAACCATAAACCTTATAAACGTGGAAGAAAATGAGAGATTAATGAGTATAATACTTACTTTTGGTGTTTATAGCTTCCAAAACACTCCAAATGTCATCTAAGAATAAACCCTTGTGAACACTGTATTTTGTCCAGGCATTTTTTTAAAAAATTTTAATAATAAAAATCAAAAAATATAAAAAATATAAAAATGAAATTTAATCCCTTTTAAGATTATATTTTCAAAAAATAATAATAATGATAATTTAACAAAAAAAGGGTTAAATCTTGAAAGGAAAATCTCTCCCAAATTATCCCAATCATTCAAAATATTCAAGAATCAACTTTTGAGAGTTAATTTTTGTTATCTTTTTCTTTCTCTCTTTAATCTGTTTTTTTTTTTAAAAAAAAGGGAGAGGGAAATATTTTGATTTAACTCAAAATTAATTTCTTTTTCTCTTTTCTTTCTTCTTCCTTTTAATCTAATTCTTCAAGTTAAAAAAAACAGAGAGAAGAAGGGATAGCAAGACGTACATGTTGGTAGGCTGGAGAGAGGAAATGAGAAAAGAAATAGACTGCCGTACACACACACACAGCTCTTTCGGCTTTGTAACAGAAACAGAGATGCAGAAACAGCAAAGATGAGAGACTAAATGCGGGCACAGAGACACAAAAACAAGCACGCACGCATGCAAGAAAAAACAGCAAGTGCAGAGCATACACATACAACATACGCACGTACGTACGCTTTCGGCTGGGCACAGAAGAAGAAAAATAAAGCAGAAAAACAGCAAGCAACACACACGCACGTACGCTTTCGGCTGGGCACAGAAGAAGCAAAATAAAGCAGAAAAACAGCAAGCAACCGGAACGACTAGCAAAAAAAAAACAGAACCAAGGACACATCCACGCACGCTGAAGACGGCACAACAGAGAAAGAAGATGGGACAGCATAGAAAAATGAGAAGAAATAGAGACAGAACAACACAGACAAAAAAAGAAAGAAAAACAGAGCAGACTTCGGCGCACACAGAGAAGAACGCAGCAGAAAGGAAGAAGCGGAGCGAGAAAGCAGGAATTCACCTCTTCCATCCCCTATATAAGACCGAGTGTGAAACAAAGGTGGGACGGTTTTTTGGATTGAAAGAAAGGAAGAGAGAAACAGACGGACAGAAGAAACAGAAAACAGAGCACAAAGACGAAGGAGAAGAGAAGAGAAGAGTGACCGAGAAGGAAGGGGAAAGCAACGTAAAAAAATATACAGAGGAGAGAGAGAGCTAGAAGACATGAAACAGAGGCTGAGACAGAGGAGAGAGGACGTGGCGGAGGAGCTTTTCTCTCCGGAAAAGCTGAGAAGGAAACGAGGGAGGCCAGAAGCTGAACGAAAAAGGATAGAGACGGAGAGAGGTGAAACAGAGGCTGAGGGAGAAAGGCTATTCCGGCTGGAACAAAGTAGAGGAAACGAAGAAGAGGAGTGCGTTTTTTGGCTGGAGAAAGGAAGGAGAAACGTACAGAAGAAACAGAAAACAGAGCACGAAAGGAAAAGAAGAGAAGAGGCGGAGAGGAGAAAGAAGAAACAAAAACAGAGAGGAGAAAGAAGAGGCTGAGACAGATCTGGACGTCCCATACGCACAGGTTCTTGCTTCTGAATCCAAAATATACGTGTTTAATTTCTGTTTACTATTCTAAAATGGATTTCATGTTTAAATATTTTGTCTCATATTTTTTCAGCTCTCAAGTGATTTCATTGCAATTGTCATATCTTTTTTTAAGAAAAGAGAGTTTGAAAAAGAAATAATAGAGAAATTGCAAATGATAATTTTTGTTTCCTATCATAGCTAAGCTAAATTTGATTATTAGGCACAATTTCATTTCAAATACAGAATTAGTGTAATTATTAGGCGAGGTCCTTAAATGTGTATATTAACATATATGAGCATTATTTTTTTTAATTCTAAGGTCCTTTACTTGTCAATAATATTGTTACACTCATATCGTATGATACTTTCTATCCACATGTACAATTGTATAAAAGATTAAGAGGAGAGAATTCAATTCTCATCTAAAAAAAAACAAATGAATAAGAGAAGGTTTCTTGTATTTTATTAACTTGCCGTGTGAGATTTTAAAAATTTTCACAGGCATTTAAAGTGATCTTATACCGTGTAAATCAATAAGATTTTGCAGGTATAGAGATTCAATTTATATGTACAATCAATAGTTTCAATAACCAACCGTTAAAACCAACTGTCTTTTTATAATCTAAATAACCCATTTAAGTTCCGTGTAAGATTACGAGAATCTTTGTAGGGACTTAAATTAATCATATTATCGTGTGGGATAATAAATCCGCGCAGATATAGTGATCATCCATTTTTATAATAAATAAATAATTTTTGTAAATAATCATACAGTATACAATTTAAGAAACTTAATTAACCAAATTAATATATTTAAATTGTAACCATATTTACCAATTATATCCTTTAGTCATGTGAGATTTTTGAATCTCCGTAGGCTTCTAAGATCATCGTATTATCATGTGAGTCAATAAGACTCTGCAGATATAACGATTTAGTTTTTAAAATATATATACATATATAATATATAATTAATTAAATCAATTAATTAAATTTAATTCTTGTATCGTGTGAGATTTTAGAATCTCCGTAGATATTTAGGATAATCATATTATCGTATAAGTCAATAAGGCTTTGCAGGTATGATGATTAAAATTCTTCAAAACATGTATATACATACTTAAAATATATTTTTAATACTTAAAATGTACATAAGAATATAAATAAATAAATTAAATTGCCAAACTCTTCTATCGTGTGAGATTTCAGAATCTTCGCAGATGCTTAGAGCAATTGCATTACCGTATGAATCAATAAGGTTCTACAGGTACTGCAATTAAATTTCTAATCATAAAATATAAAGAAAAGTAATTTTAAACCATTTCCTTTCTTTATCCCAAAAATTCAAAAATGGAGAAAATAATTAAAATTAAATTACTTTTTGCAATTTTAAACACACATATCAAAATTTCAGAAATTGTTTTATTTGCAAAATGGTGAATTATTTATAATTAATTTCTCTTCAAAAAATATTTTTATATCAACAACTTTTAAGCCCGAACTACGTGGACTTTGATCCCCATCACAGGGTACGTAGGCCTCAGAGTCAGATTCTGAGTCAAGTCCGTCCTCCCTCGTAAATAAATAAATATTTCTCATCATTTTTATCAAACACATGAATATAAAAGGGATAATTAAAATAATTATAAAACCATAATAATAGAGCACAGCAAACTTCAGGTAACCGTTCTCACGAACGGGTGTCGTGGGGTGCCTAACACCTTCCCCATACTCAACCGACTCCCGAACCTATTCTCTGATTTCGCAGATCACCCTTATCCTCCTTTTAATCGGTTTCCCGAGATTTACCTCAAAATCTTGGTGGCGACTCCTCGTTCGATCCGGTTCCCGCCGCGAAGGCCAGGACCTCCGCTCGCGCGCCGTTCGCGTCGCATTTTTTCAGGTGCGACAACCCTAATAGAGTTTGGTTGCTTGTTCTCATTCTCTCCTTCTTTCTCTCTATTTGTCATCTCAATTTTGTGACTTATTTCTGTAGAAAAGGGGTTATGCGTCGTGATGGCGCATGGCACAAAGAGGTCTCCTTCACACCTCAGTTGCATTCGTGTGCCACGGTGGATCTATATCACGTCATGGCATATGGCACAGCAATACTTTATCTTTGTTTTCTTCTCCTTTCGATGCCCAACTAGCCCAACTGCACACTGAACCCATAATTAGGGCTGAAACGCAACCCAAAATTAATTATTAGACCTCCCTAACCACACATCACACCAATTTTACTCAACTATCATAATTAAGTTTAGTTAATTTGAGGATACAAATTCAAGATGTTATACTGGAGGATCTCAAGATTTTAGCTTCTGGTTTGGCTGATAAAGCTAGCATTGGCTAATATTTGTTTGTTTTGCAGGTGTTGTTCTGGTTTGTCTTTTTGTTGTTTTTTCTTTGGATTTTTTTAGTTTGTATCCTAGGCTTATTTCTGTTTTGTTGATTTCTGTTTTTAGGTTGTATCCTAAATGTTTTTTCCTGATTTCCTTAGTCTATTAGTGAGTGTAATCTCTCTTTTTGTTATTAATAAAATGGCTTGTGTTTTGCTTAAAAAAAGGAATTATGACCAGCATAATATGAAAGCAAATAAATATAGGAGGTTATAGAATCAAATTTCACTATTAATATAAGAATCTTATTAGTAGACGATTTATAAGTACTTCTATAGATGTTTTTTAAGTTTAAAAGTATGCCTTGCCGATGATAAATTCTTGAAACCTAACTCATTTAAACTTTTGAATACCAAAAAAATAAATAAATAAAAGCTGAAGTTCAATGTTCATTTAGAAAAAAAAAAAAAAACATCATCCATGGGGCATTTGCTATTTGCCCCTTCTTTTTTTTTCTAATTAAAGTAAATGAACTTGAAGGAAATATGAGCTCATTTGCACAACAACATGCAATCAATTTAGTCCCTGTATACGAGTTAAAGTGATATCGAGTAGTTCTTATCGGATTCGTTTTTCCCACAAATCCATGTAGTCACTCAAATAAGGGGGCATTTCAACTCATCTGACCCAATTTATTTCACCCTGAAAACCGTCATGCGATCAACCAGTGTGGTGGAACAACAGTGTCCTCGAACATTATACCCAAAACAAGAAAAAGTGTCCTCGGACACATTTCAAACAGTAATTTTACCCTATGATATCTTTATCTTTATCTTTATCTTGGAATTTAATTCACGAAAGTTGACCATTATTTTTATTTGCAGTACAAGTTTGTTCGTATCGGCCAAAGATGGATGGCAATTTTGAGATTTGGATCTTCCCCTTCATCGACAAGAGATGGACACAAAAACTCTCTTTTTAGTCGCATTCACTCCAGCGATGAAGTGCACTCCCACAAATCCAAATAATAATAATAATAATAATAAAATATATACGTAAAAGGAGAGAAAATGCCAGCTGTCAAATTTAAAAGAAGGAAGGCCAAAGGTGATGATGCTAATTACACCCACGTTGGGACAGAGCTCCCCCAACCCCACCACCACCACGGCCCCGCCTTTCTCATCCACTTGTCTGTTTTTTTTTTTTTTTTTCATTTTCTTGTTACTCAAAGCTGAATCCATGGGTCAAGCCAATTAAAGTCACCAATCCCATCCTATTTCCCCACAAAAAAACAAAAAAAAACGTATCTAAAAGTTTTTGTATCTTGTGGGCCACGATGCCAGTACCAACCCCCCTTCTCTGTGTCTGGCTCCATCGAGAAAACGTGTCAAACAGCAAAACTTCTTCCCCACCTCAACTTGTGGTCCCACACCAAGGCGCCGCGCACCGCCGCCTCTCCTCCTCCCTTTCCATCCCCACTCGCCGGAACACCACCGAGCACTCCGGCAGCTCCCCCAGGTCAGCGAACAGAAGCTCGTCCTCCTCCCTCATCGGCAAGAACATTGACGCCACGTCCGCGTCATCCCCCGTCAGGATTGCACTTTCCAGGACCGCCGACGACGTCGTTGCCGTCCTCTGCATTTCGCCGAACCACCCCAACTCGTCCGGCGTGCTCATCAATGACCCGTCCCCGAGGTCCCCGAACTTCTCCTCGGACTCCTGTTCCTGCTCGGCCGGGGCCTCGATGAGTTCGGCTGGGGCGACGGCTTTGCTGGAGGCGGATTTGTTGTGGTGATGATTTCGAGAAGCCGGCCAAGGGTGATTGTGCTCGCAAGAGTAGGTCACGACGATCATGCTGGGGTCCACGCGGCTCCTTTCCACTTGTTTTCTTGCCGGGCATCCTTTGGAACTGCTGCATCGATAGTATCCTCTGCCCAATCACAAAGGCATGACAATTTGATTAACTTTTTCCTTGTCATCTTCTCATTAGCCATTCATAAGCTTAAAGTTAAAACCTCCATGAAAACCTAATGAGCCCTATAGCTTTCGGCCGCACTAGATTCTATCAGAATTATGAAAATACAGCACACAATTCGTTATTCTGCACACTAAAAGTGAGACGGATTTGGAAGTCCCAAAGTTTCCATGTCAATCTTGCTTATCAAGTTCTGGAAAATTGGTCGGAGATGTGATTAAGGAGTGGAAAATGTACCTGGGGTAAGGCGAACCTTTGATGGGTTTTTGGCCGTACTTTCTCCAAGCCCAGGAATCGGACGGCGGAGTATTGTTCTCCCCTTTAAGCCGAGATCCTTCTACTTCCTTGATCGGAATTTGCACCACCCTCTTCTGTATGGCTCGCCTGCTAAAACCATATCCCATTAACTTTTAATGCCATATCTTCAAATATACATCTCTCTCAATTCGCTTACAACTAGGTATTCTCAACTCCCAAGAGCAACTGAAAAACATGGTGGCTTATATATCCTCTTAGAATAAACTTTCTCTGAAGTTTCAATTTTTAGTGGAATTCAATGGAGAATACAGAAGGATCAATTATCCGTCCGGTGTACAAGTGGCTGTAGAGTGTAACGAGACTAACCTTCTTTTCGGGGAAGACGTAGAAGGGACGAGGGTATTGATATTAAAGACCGCGGAAGGAGGTGACTCTGCAACATTTTCTTGAGCTATATCTGTATCATCTTGCTCACTGATATTTAGGCTGCGGCTGTTGAACCTACTGTCCATATCTTGGAACAATTCTTCAAACTGGATGAGTTAATTAATCTTGACTCTTCGATCCCACTACAAAGCACTATGATATGATACGATGAAGATGGTGATTGTGGCTAGCTAGAGCATGGAAAAGAGGTTAGCACAGTGAAGAAGAAGAGGAGGGAGGAGGTAAGAGAAATAGGGAATGCCCTTTAAAACAGGGGCTTTCACGTTGGACAGCTTGGCTCGGTAAGCTCTCTGGCCTTTGTTTATTAGAGGACGTGCGTGCAAATACCTCATCCTGTGGAAGTCTCGCAAATTTATAGGCATTAAATATAGATATGAATGTGTCAGTGGAAAGCAACGTTGAGGTTGCTTAAGCTGTTAAAATATTTGGAAATTTCCATGAGGATAAGCCCGTTTGAATATTTTAATTGGTCTAACACTCTCTTTTGTCATATCTGGGGGGTGTTCTACCAATCAGAATTTACCCAACTTGGTCATCCATGTACATGTCTCTTTGCTTTTGAACTCATTCTTTTATCTGCCTATTAATGAAAATGGTGCGTCTAGAAGGCTTGAAACTTTCCCGGCCCATCATGTCATGAACGTAGTAGTCATCACTTTGTGGGGCTGGAGTTACCTTTTTGCCCTGAATTATTGATGCTGTGTACCATTAATTGGGTTTGACAATTCTGATTAAGAAATTCATCATTTCCTTATTCATTTGTATTGTGCCAGGGAAACCTCTAAGCAAAGCAACTGTAGAAACAAGGGGCAAGAGAAAGACATATCTGCCCTTTGCTTTATCTTCCATTAATTCTCTCTCGGCTGCTAAACCCTGAAAAAGATATGATATTTAAAAAAAATAGATGGAATAAATTTTAAAAATAACATATATATATATATATATATATATAAACCCAATACACTGCATATTCTCTATTTAAATTAATGATTTGGATTTATTTCAGAAAAGTAGTCGGTGCATGGAGTCCAAGCTCAATTTTGCCTGCAAAGAAGAATTAAAAAAAGGAGAAGAAAAAAAGATGAGGAAGATAAGATTTCACTCCTTCTTCAATGAAGAAGGTATTATTCATTTGAATTCATTCACATTCTCAATAATTTCATTTGGCACAAAAATTTATCTATTTAGTTAACAGTATTCTAACTTGATATTATCAGCTTGACCGTCGCCATTTCCCATCCAGAATTCTATAGCTTATTCCCGAAACTCACTTGCATATCGGGTTTCCTTCTTTCTGATACTCGCCGTCAGAATAATTACCTGCTTTAATGTAACATATAATGTTTTACTTAGATGATTTCTATTTTTCTGCGTCTATATGGCTCCTATTTTTGTTCCTGACTATTGCTTATTTAACCAATTTTCTCAATATTATTTCATTGTTCATATTACTTCTTCATATATATATATATATATATATATTTGTTTATATTTGCTGGTTACACCTTTTTTGACCGGCCACTTCAATTCAATAACATTCAATTATATGGTAAATATATATGACCTAATTTAATAGCTATAACAATCACTCTCACACACACACACACAAACAAATTGTGAATGCTTGTCTACATGTTAAATTTTTATTTTTATTTTAGTTTTTTAAGAAATCAATTTTCAAGAGCACCCCATGCAATGTATATATGGTATTCTCTGGGTATTTATCACTGCTCAAATCAAACCTCAAACAATTTAACGTCAAAAGATCAAGATAAAATTGAAGTAGCTTTACCGCATAAAATAAGAATATACTCAGAGTCTCAAACAAAGAGCATGCATGGAAGGGAAAAAACAATTTACTCAGAAACGTGAGGGATTCTAAACTTTTTTGGTATAATGTTCCCTTTTAATATTTCAAAACAATGCAATTTGGCCCTATATATTGTTAACAAAATTTTTAATTTTAACAATTAATTGATTAAAAAATTACAAAAATATCAAGAATTGGTATTTTCTGTAATATTTTGGGTTATTGTCTGTAATTTATGGATCTTTTTACGTAATTTTTATTTTTTTATAATTTTCTGGTCAATTAAAAGTTAAAATTAAATTTTATTAATGATAGGAGGCAATATTGTACTGTTTTGAACAATTAAAAGAGATTGGTCTATTTTAGGGACATCATTCAAAATGCTTGCAATCTCATTCATAGAAATTGGTTTATTTCTATTAATTTTGTTTCTAAGGACGTCATTAGTCATACTCATTTTTTTGCTAGTGAAGCTCATTTTATGGAGAATTCATTTTCTTTCTTTGATCATCCCCCACCTAATATTACTTTAGGAGGCGTATGATGATTGAGTCGACTCTCTTTAGTCTTGTATTTGCTTTGTTGTACTGTCCTATTTGCTGATTGTTTATGAAATTCAGTTTCCATTCAAAAATAAAAATAAAAATAAAAGAGAACATTATACTAAAAATTAATTTAAGGTTTCAAACACTCCTAAACTGTTGAACCTATAATTTAAGGGTGAAATTGTTCTTTAACTCTTAAATGAATAAAATGTTTATTTTTTTTACCAACAATAATATGTTTATTTTAATATCATAATTGCAAATATTACATCATTAAACTAAATGAATAGTTAAATAAACAGATAAGATTGGTATGAAAAGAGGTATTAAGCGATAGTTATTTCTATATATATATATATATATATATATATATTAATGTACATTCCAGTTTTAGTCAAGTTTTGTTTTGAGAAATAATAGAAATGGAGACCCCTCTCTACTCCATGCCCAATCAAGTGCCCAGCGTATGTTTCTTCATTTTTGGAGGCAGCGCCATTTATATTCGGTAGTTACATATAATTGCCCTAAAAAAGAATATTCTGACATAAGGTTCGCCCTATTACGTGCATGACTAATTGTATCATATAAGATTTAATTAAACAAAACCAAAAATAAAAAATAAGACTTACTGCGCGATGCAACGGTCACCGCCTCAAGATGATTAATTTTTAAATAATTATAATCGATATATATATAATATATATATATTTGAATAATTTTATGGTCTCATCTATTTCAGATCTAAATTCTGGAGATCCAAAATTTTATATTGTATAAATTTCTCATGATGCTTGTGTTCGACTTGGAGATTCAAATCCCTTTTTTTTTTTTTTTTGTTGACCGAGTCACTCGTTTCCATACATCGGTGTTCTTCTCGAACGGCATCGTATTCCCTCTCCAGTCAAATATCAAAGGGAGATGGGTTAATCTTGAGTGTGAAAGCCTGAATAAGAAAAATATTTTTGTGTAAATTTTCAAAGAAATCAAGCTTTCCAAGTTGCGGATTAATAGTTAATTAGTTTAATCAGATCCTGAGTTAGGTCAAAATAATCATTGATTAAGAAACTAGTTTTCCCCCCAGGGTTTCCAAAGGCGTGAAGCAACGTAACAGCTATATATTTATGTATTCTTTATTTTTTTTTTAGAACTCTTTAATTCATATAGTTTAAATATAAATAACTCTTCCAGTGTAATTTTTTTTTTTTTGCCTCCGCTAGACTTAAACAAGTATGCCGATAATTTTATTAAAAAAAACATTAAGTCCCTTTATTATTTTGTGTTTGATTATACGCCGCCAGCAGATTTTATATTCTCAAATTGCACAATCCCTTTGCTTACGGCATTTTGGTGCTACTTATTCTCCCACCTTAATTATTGCTATTAAACTCTAACCTACTTTTTTTAATTTGTTCAGACCCAATTATGTAAGTTGGTAGCACAAGAAAAATAATAGTACTAGCTAATAGTATCATCCTCATTATTACTATTATTGTATAGTATTGTACTCTATTTATATTATCTAATTCATTCCAATCAATTATATATATATATATATGTATGTATGTATATGTATATGTATATGTAACCTCTCCAGACAATATTATAACATGGTACTTTATTAGTTAATACTATTATCTAATTCATTCCAATCAATTATATATATATATATATGTATGTATGTATGTATGTATGTATGTATGTATGTGTATATGTAACCTCTCTAAACAATATTATAACATGGTACTTTTATTAATTAATACTACTTTATATTAAATTATAAGATAATTTTAAAGGTGATTCGGTGCCCCAAAACATAAGATAATTTGATAAAAATAAAGTTTTATTGATTAAATGTACATTTTTATTATTACCCTTCCCTCTCCCTTATTATTCTCTTTCTCTTTTGTAAGATTATATTTAATGAAAGATATTTTTAAAAATTTATACTCTCTAAATAAAAATAATAATAAAGCATTTTAATGAATTACGTTCTTCAATAACTTAGTCAATTATTTTTAAATTAATATGTCTTTTTTATGTTTACTTTCATAGGATGTATCATCTTTTTTTTTTTTTTTGGTTAAAAGGCAAATATGTCTTGATTTTTTTTTTTAGGAGCGTCTGGCATCCTAACTTTTTTTTAAGCATTTTTGCTTCAAAAGTTTTTAAAAATAGAGTATTTTTGCTTCACTATTAAAAATCTCAAACATTTACCGTTAATTGAGGTTTAACCAATGATATTTTTGTATTTTTTTCTCTCATTCATTTTGTATTTAGTTTTCAATTTCATTCTCCAGTAAATTTTTTAACTTTTTTCTTCCAATGAATGAAAATGAAGATCGAAGAATGCAAAAATGAAGGAAGTCAAAATCATAAAAAAAACTCTAATCAAACTTTCAGTTAAGTAATTTTTAATGATGAGGCAAAAATGCTCTATTTTTTAAACTTTTTAGAGCAAAAATGATTCAAGAAAAGTTTATGATGTCAGGTATCCTAGAGAAAAAGTTGTAGGATATTTTTACCATTTAACCTCTTTTTTTTTTTTTGGTTAGAAGTAACAATTTTGTCAATGGAAATCACAATTAAACCAAAACAAGACTCAGAGGATCCCAGACAAAAGGGGAAAAGATCAAATGACCCCAAAAATTAGTGGCAGCTCCATGCAAATAAAGAGGCAAACTCTGATGAAGTAGGCAATCCTTTGAGATCTAATACCCATAGAAACATTCATGGAAACGGGTAAATGATTACAAGGGGTGGTAGTCTGAAGACTTTCTTAAATTTATGAGCCCACACAGCAGGATGTCTAGCATAAATTTAAATAGTTGAGTGATTTATTAAGTGTATTTTTTAAATAAAATATTCATTAATTACATACTGAAAAATTAATATGTTTTATATTTTTGAACATTTGACTTTAAAAAAATGTATTATATTTTTTAACGAAAGGAGTATTTTTATTTTAAAAAAGAAACATA